AGTGCCCCAACAGTGACTGGCCACAACTTACACTTTCAATGTCCAATTCCAGTTTGGGGCAATAAAAGCAGATTTTATTGGCATAGTACAGAAAACATTGCAAAATAAAAGATAATTGGAAATAAATACATTAATAAAATTCAAAACAAAGTGCTGCTAGCCAGTATATGTACAATATATACTTTACAAATGTATGAAAATACTAGCTGGCCTCTAGACCATTCCCAGCACTTTGAAGACTTTCTCAATCAAATATTCAGCTGCTCACATTTCTCAACTTTTCCAACAAGCATAATTTTGATCATGTTTAGGCTCATTCTAACACGATAACAGTAAAAGGTTGTTATAAAGAGGAGGGTGATAAATTGTTTTCCTGAGCCACTTGAGGACAGGACAAGAAGCAACTGGTTAAATTGCAGCAAGGGGGAGTTAGATTAGACATTACAAAAATTTCCTTATTGTAAGGATAGTTAATATCTGGAATAAATTGCCTAGGGAGGTTGTGGAATCTGTGTCATTGGAGGTTTTTAAGAACAGGTTATACAAACACCTGTCAGGGATAGTCTAGATAATACTTAATCCTGCCATGAGTGCAGGGGACTGGACTAGATGACCGATCAGGGTCCCTTCCAGTCCTACACTTCCATGATTCCCAGACAGCTTCAAAATAATTAATACAGAACATAACAGTTTTCAGCTGCTCCTCTGGAGTTATCGCCTATATAATCAGCCACTTATTTTGCTTGTCTTTAAAGACTGCAGTTATATTCCAAAACAAAATTTTAAAAGATTTTTAATTAATTTTAAAAAGATACTCACTGACTGGAACTTCCACTGAAGTCCAAACTCCTCAGTACTCACTCTGTCAATTGCCTTTCATCTCAAGAAGCACATTCATTAGCTATCTCTGTATTTATATCAAACAGCACACAAGGACTTTGACCCTCCCACCAACTTACTCAGTCAGATGGCCTGGCGTATGACTCACTCACTTCTAACACTCAAACCTCAAAGGGACTGGTCTGGAATGTAGGTCTTGTTAAAACCCTGCTCCTATAGCAGTTACACTCCTAACCACTAGTTACTACCTTTTTACTTATCCATTGCTGAACATAGCCTTATAATTCCTCCCCACGTTGTTTACATTTTTAAAGATAAAAAATTGTCCTTACTGGAGCTCCTAGTCAATCCAAACTCCTGTGTCTGCACCATCAACTGCCTCTCACTCTACCTGGGGCCTCTCAGATTGAGTACGTTTCAGAGTGGTAGCCGTGTTAGTTTGTATCAGCAAAAACAACGAGGAGTCCTTGTGACACCTTAGAGATTAACACATTTATTTGGGCATAAGCTTTCGTGGGCTAAAACCCACTTCATCAGATGCATGGAGTGGAAAATACAGTAGCAGGTATATATACACAGTATATGAAAAGATGGGAGTGTAGTAAGGTGAGGCCCTGAAACATAAACCCTTGTATCAGAAGCCCAGTATGAGGCCTAAAGCCTGAGCTAAAGTAATGGTCAAGACTTTGCTAACAAAAAGCAAAGTTATGCTGTGAGCCAGAGGCAGGCCCTGCTCACAGAAGCTGGCAAGGAATGGGCTGATGTTGCATAAACATATACCTACACAGTCAGGGCCGGCTCTGGCTTTTTGGCCGCCCCAAGCAAAAAAAACCCGAACAAACAAAAAAACCTGCGGCGCGGCTGGAGCGCGGGGGCAGGGGGACCAGCTGGGGGGGAGAGGGGGAGGGAGCGGGCGAGAGAGAAAGAGAAGGGGGCGGCCAGGGCTACAGCAGGGGCACTGCCACGCGGCCCCTCTCGCTGCGCCGCCTCCTGCCGCGAGAGCTCCGCTCCGGTCAGCGGGGAGGGAAGGAAGAGGACTGCCCTGCAGGGCGCTCTGGTTCTCCGCGCCACCGCCCCCTACAGGGCGGCCGGAGCGGAATAAGAACAACAACAACAACAACAAAAAAGCGGCCGTGCTGCCCTAGTATTGGGCAGAATGCTGCCTCGAACAATCTGCCGCCCCAAGCACCAACTTGCTCAGCTGGTGCCTGGAGCCGGCCCTGTACACAGTATTGGTTACTAGAGATATAAATATATGGTACGGGAACACTCTGATACTTGCACATTCCACGCAGATAACAAGGAACAATCTGACCCATCCTAAAGACAGGGTCAAAAGGGTAAGATGATGGATAGAGTTGTTTTGTTCAAACCAACATGTACAAGGTGAGAGGCGGGGCCTTACTGTGTAGAGGGGTTGCACCTCAATAGGTCAGGAGTGATGTGTAATTTGTTTGTACCTGTGTATAAGAATGCATCCCTGAGTGGACGTCTTTGTCTGGCCTAGGGGGCAGTGGAAAGTCCCACCACTGACTGAGCCAGTCCATTGCCAGGGAGCACATATGTACTAACCAGCAGCACCTTGGATATCTAATCTGGGGAGCTAGAGACTGTGTTTCTCTTCAACAATAAACCTGGCCAGGTGTCTTCGTACGTTACGAGAGTGTATGGTCATTGGGGGTTCTCTCGGGGTCTGCTGTGTCAGCTATCTGCGCCGAGCCGGGGCAGCACACAGAGGGAACACGCACGCAGCCAACTGATATCAACATTGAATAGAGCACAGCACCAACTGGTAAGGGAGTTGCCTTAACAAGTGGGGGGGGTCAGTGCTAATGAGACAATTCAATTAAGATGGAAGTCAGATATTCTCAATAGTAGAACTCCAAGGGAGGAAAAATCACTTTTGTAATGGTAATGAGGGTGGCCCATTTCAAACAGTTGACATGAAGGTGGAATACTACTCAGATTGACTAGTATTATTTTTGTATTTACAATTTACTATTACTATTTCCAGGTGGTTTTGCATCTAGAGCTTGACTATAAGTCATGCTCTTTGAAGACACCCAGTTAATTTCCATTAATAATATATTTGAATTAGCATGTAATATTTATTTCTGCAGATTGATCTATTATCCTATTTAAATATATTGCATCTTTCAGAGACAGCCACTGAAGGTCATTTTGCAATACCCAAAGCATTATTAAATGTTCTCTCAAACCAGTGAAGAGCATTCATTGATTTTCAACTTTTAATTAACTGAATGTGTATTTTTTAATTTCTAAATTAATTCTATCAACTGGAATTGAAGGATAGCTTTTTCTTTCTTTACAGCCCAAGTTAAGCTTATCTAGTAATCAAGTAATCTCTCTAGAACAAAAACAATGTTTTTTAATTTATTCAAAAACAAGTGTTTCATAAACGCCCAGGCTATGAGCCCAGTCCTGCAAACACTTCTGGCAGCAAGCAATATGATTTGCTGTAAGAGCTTGGAGAACTGGTTCTTGTTTCTCTCACCTTATTCACTACCTTGTTTCTCTCACCTTATTCACTACCTTGTTCACATTGTGTAGTGCCTTACTCTGTAAGTAGTCCAATCAATGCCAATAGCACCACTTGTGAAACAAAGATACTATGCAATGTAAGGGAGATAGAACTAAGCCCTAGAATTTAAATCACAGTTTAACTACTCAAAAGGATCTTGATTTGGTGTCTAGTATTTGCAGGACAGAGGTTCTAGGAGAGTTCAAAGATCTTTCAGATTGTGAACAGGTGTTGCACATTCTGTATGTATTTTTAAAAATATTTTAACCCTTGTGGCAGAGCTCTGACCTTGTCCCCGTGGGTCCCGCGCTTCTAGGCGGTTTATGCTAGCCTCAGTGGCTCACTGCGACCCTCCACGTAGCCCTTCTCTCTCTAGGGCCACGGTTACAGTCTACTGAGCCCTTTTCATCATAAGCCAGCAAGGAGGTTGGTGAGAGAACTCCCACAGTCTCTCTTGTCTCTAGGGGTTATTTCAGAACAGTTCAGCCTCCTGTCCTGACAGGGGCCTGTCTTGCCTTCCCAGGAAGTGTTTCCGTAGTGGCAGGTTGGGGGGAACCCGGGCCCACCCTCTACTCCGGGTTCCGGCCCAGGGATCCTAATGGTAGCAGCTGTTGGCAGCCAACCTTTCTCTGCCAGAGTTGCTACATTTCCCTGGGCCACTTCCCCACAGCTCTCCTGCTTCTCCCTTCTTCACCCTTACCTTAGGGCTCCCTTACCGATGGTTTGAGGGTGTCTTCATTAACCAGCCCTTCAGCCGCACTTCCTCTCCTCTGGCTCTCCCCAGCCTAACTGGAGTGAGCTCTTTTATAGTATCAAAAGGGCCTTAATTAAAGTCAGGTGTTCACATTACCTTAATGGACTCACCTGACTCTTTGCAGGTTAATTGGAGTCAGGTGTTCTCATTAATCTAGAGCAGCCCCTGCTCTGGTCACTCAGGGAACAGAAAACTGCTAATCCAGTGGCCAGTATATCTGCCTTCTACTATTTCGTTGTACCCAACTGGCCTGGGTCTGTCACACCCTATTTATGTATTTTGAAAGCATTTATATCCCAGCCCAGGGCCAGATTTTCAAAAGTGCTCAGCTTCCAATTTTTTGCCTAAATGAAGTTACTGGATTTGAAAACCCTCAAGCACCTAAGCAGCCCCCACTG